CCCCCCCCCCAAAAAAAAAACAATTATTTTACATAAAGACTCCTATATTTTTTTAATTTTAATAAGTGTCTTAATAACACCCATGATTTGGCCTAATGAGTGTATGCAAGTTAGATACATACACAGCTTATTTTTCATGTCCAATATCTGGCACACAGTAAGTACTCCATAAAAATTTAAAAACAAATAAACATAGTAGCTATGCAATACGTTTTTACTAAGTGAATAAATAAAAGAATAGGTGGATAAGTGAGTGAATGAACTAATAGATGTCAACAGTTTCTAGTGACTTGATTACTTTAAATAGCTAGAAAAAACAGTAGCATGGTGTCCAAATAAATTCTGTGGAAAACATAATAGATACCGTTCCTCTGGAAAACAGGATAGCATGATAAATAGCAGAATATAAGCCCTGTATAGGGCATTGTGCAATGTCACTTACTACAGATAAAGTAGTGTAGTGTGCCATTGAAAATTATCCTGGAGCCCTCATGGGAAATCTCTCTGAATTGTATTAAAGACAGACCTAGTCTCTCACTCTATCTATCTAGGATTTTATCTGGGAATCTCACATGTTTGTGTAGCATCAAGTTTCAATTTATACAATACACATATAGCATTTTGCCATAAACAAGACTCAACAAAACAAATGGAATGTGCTGGAGAGGTTTCTACAGAACACGGTATTCCTCATAAAAGCCTGTGGCCTCTATAACTAATTCTCTTTCTTTTCTGAACTATTGGGCTCATTCTGGGCACCACACAGAATTCTAGCTAGAATTTCATCATCTATTGGTCCCAATCTTATCACAGCAGTTTGTATTTTTAGAAGAAATACGTAACACTGAAAAATAATATTATTTTCTGTTTCTCACAGGAAACATGCATTGTGCTTGTTATTGAAAACTTCTGGCTCACATACCTCTTGACGTCACATCTGAACTCAAAGCCCATTCTTGTTTTGGAACTTTTTAAAAGCCTGATTCCAAGTTCTGTAGAAATCATCATTTAAAAAGCAAGAGCTCAAAACTTTGTGATGTTTTTGATGCCGATTCAAAAGAATCTAAGTGACCTCAGGTCAATATAAAGAAAGTGACTTAAACCAATTATTAAATTTGTGCAAAGTCTTCTGGAAAGAAGTAAATGATTTATTTCTAAATATTTTATGAGCCTAGAGGCAGAATCTTAAAGCTATGGTTTAAAAAAGCCAATGACTGAAGAATTAATGCTGTAGTTTCTTTGGTTGTTCTTCTGGAAAGCTGTTGAAAGATTATGGGCACACATTTGGTTGAGAGAAAAAAGCCACTAATGATCAGTGCCATATACTTTCTCTACCTTGGACCTGAGCTGATAAAATGACTGTTGAGTCCCAAGGGATGAGTAAATTTCAAGTTCAGTGGAAGACTCAGCTTGTGGTTTGATGAGGGCACTTGTACATTGACAAATTCATGAATCAGTCATGATGGAAGAGAAAGGGTGGTTGGTTTGGGTAGAACCTGACTGCATTGAATAAATTTCCAGCTCAGGTGAAAGTAGTAAAATGGAGGCTCAAATTCCAGTTGGAGAGAATATCCAGCCAAAGTGTTTCTGAATTCGGGTATATGAAAAGTTTGGGAATGACAATTATCACCACTCTCTGCACTGGAGATGGAGCTTTCGTTTGCAGGTTCCCAGTGATGATGGCATTGTCTATGACAATATGTCATCCTCTTAGGATTGTTGTGAGGCTTAAATAAAATTATGTGTAGCAATTGTTTAGCCTGTTGTAAGGGCTCAGCAAATGTTAGTGGGTATCATTATATGTGCTGTACAAAGTAGCTATTGCACAGAGACGATATCTGTACAGATTATCTCAGAAGCTGCTCCAAATCAGGTGACCATAAAATAAGCAAGTCAGCCATTCAATCTGAGATATCCATGCCTTACTGATTCTTATTTGTATAACAAGATAGAATTGATGAAATAATTTCTGATGTTTTAAGAGAGAATTATCTTTTATCCTACAAGTATCAAGGCTCTTCAAAAAATTACTGGAAAATGTTCAGTAAAGCTGAATGAAAATGATAATGCTGATTATCAGAATCAGAGCTTTTTGCCAAATTACGTGTCTAAGATAGCGCAGAAATAACCTGCCTGCCTCACAACCTCTTCCCTCTCTCACTACCTCTTGCCAATTTTCTATTGCATCTTTTGAATATCTCAAACAAGGATAAGACACCCTCAGCTGCTTGTGAAAAAGTTGAATATACGTATTAAAGGAAATTACTGAGCCGTGTATTATTGTCATATTTTGAAAGCATACATTTTAGAATATAGAAAAATCAGAAAGAAAAGAAAGCCTTTTAAAACTACATGAAGTGGCAAAGGAAATAGAAACCAATCTTCAGACACAGAAATTTAATTAGCATACTAT